AATGGTGGTGGGGAGGTGGCTGGAGGCAAAAACTTGCCAACAAAGTTTTCCAGCCCAGAACTGCTGATGTTTTTAATTTTCTTCATTGACCCGACATCAGTATTCAGGCGAAGGGAAAACTCCAGGCTCCCAACATTCTGGAGTCCAACAGATTCTGAAAGGGCACTTCAGAAGCAAACGCCAGACGATGCAAGAGGGATCTCTGCTGGTTCAGCTTTTTTCTTTTTTTTTTTTAAACAGACTTCAACTGCAAAACCCCCGTACTCATTTATTTATAAGGCCCTTCTCCTGGATACCAGACACCTGGCCCGTTCTAACACTTGCAGTGGGCCTAGGTGGTGACAAGAGATGCTTGCCAGGCTGCACAAAATGCCACATGCCATCCTGGGCGTCTGGAATCCCAAGCCAGCAGTGGTAGTAATGGGAGGAGGGTGCTGTACCCCTGAGCATGCTCTGCTGTTGCTACCCTACAAGGTCATCTTGCTCTCTGCTGACAATGGGAACAGCTGGTTCCCCCACACATCTCCCTGTAGCACGTGCTCAGGGCAGAGCTGCTCGTTCCACATGTTCACACCAGCATCCCCGTGCCTTCCACTGAGCCAGCGCGCAGAGGAGACGATACAAGGCTGCCTGAAGCGAACACCCGCTTCTACAGAATGAGCCATGAGCAGAAAACAGCTGTTTCTCACTTCTGAAGGAAAGCAGCTAACGGTTCAAAGGGTCATTTTCCTTTTTCCTTACAGTTTTCACAATGCACAACGCAGCGAGGTCAACCCCAGGCACGGCGGGGACAAGGCCTCATTTGCAGGTCTGCCGGCCGCGTCCAGTGTGCGCGTTTCTGGGAGGACACTGGGAGCCGGAGGACTGTAGCAAGGACACTTCAGCAGACAGGACAAGGCACATCGTTCATCCAACAGCCCCCCCCCAAAAAGGGGAAAGCGCCTCGCAATTGGATAGCTTCTAAAAATAACATTTGAAAAGATTTTTTCGGAAACTTGCTATTCCTTATCTGTGACGCATTTCAAGCCGCCTGCACTCGGTAAACCTGAAATGGAACAGACTGTTAAACAGGAGCCTTGTTTGCCTGGAGTCTGCAGGCTAAAGCTGATGCAATTGTTACCAGCTAGATTCTCAGATTAGATTAAAGGAGAACAAATGGGTTCTGTCTGACCGCAAATGAATGGATGGGAGGCTGCTTGAGATGAACCAGGCAGAGAGCGTGTGTGTGTGTGTTGCTGGTATGAAAGAGAGCTCCTCTGACTGGGTTTATACAAGAGAGTCACATTCTGCATGGTGTTTAAAATTCTGTTCATGAAGCGTCTCCCATCATCCGAGAGAGCTTGTCCCTGTGTCCTCTGCCGTGCTTGCACTGCTGCTGCTGCCAGCGTCAGAGCCGGATGAGGAGAGCAGGGGGGAGAGGGAGGGAGGGCAGCCGAGTCCCCACGCGCGCTCACTTTCCGACGCAAAAGGGGAGAAAATAGCTCAAGCTCAATTCCTTTGCCTTTTTTTTATTTACATGGGGGGAAAAAAAAAAATCCATGAAACTTTCCTTCCGTTTCTTGCCTCCGGAGCGCTCTCAGTGACATGAGAGAACTGGCTGTGCTACAGCGGGCGTGTGCAGGCTGGCAGGTATGGACTTATCCTGCATACGCAAAACATTTGTTCTGGGTTCTCATGGGGAAAAAAAAAAACAAGAACGTATTTCTAAGAGGACACTTTATTGTAATTACACATACCTGGATGATGCGTAATAAAGAATGCCCTTTCAAATTTAAAACCTTGTCTTAAGGTATTGGAAGTGTATCTATAGCTAATAATTTAAGCCCCTTTAGCTAGTTGTATAACCATACTAGCACAGTAAATGCAAATACTGTACATCAGTCACTGCAATGAGGTCATATGGAGGGCCAATTTTTGGTTCATACACTTACAGTAACTACATTACTGAAGCAAAGAGCCAAGAGGTTTCTAGGTTAGGATTCTGATCTAAGTGCACTTAAATTAGGAATACAACCTCACACGAACTGAATCCATATGCTGCCCATTTCCCGTGAAACTAAATGCTTATTGGGACATTACAGCTATCAGCCACCATAGCTTGTCAAGCTAACGACTGACTTCAGCACCTTGCAAACTGGCTTTTCAGTTCACTGCCTGCTCACATTGGAAGCAATCAAAGAGAACAATCATGCTTCCTAACTTTACCACTATGAATTGCCCACAAACAAACTGGACTCCAGTGTGACAGGACCTTATTTAAAACATACATAAAAAAACAGGCTCCACAAGCATTCTAAAATGTGCAAGCTATATCTTCAGAAATGTCTCCAAAAACTGTTTAAGGAGAACAGTAGCTGATACTCAATATAACCTATATAAATCCTCCAGGTTATTATTCATTATAAAATAACCTCCAGGTTTATTTTTATAATAACTGTGCTATTTAAGCAATAAATTAAAAACAAATGCTGAAGTGAAACGAGTCCTCTAAACCTGTTTGCCACTCTTTAAGCCCCTCAGAATTTTGTTACTCCTACATTCATGTTTTAGTTCTGGGTGCAAAAGAACCTTACTCTGTGACTGCTTAGAACTGCCACCTGCCTCCCACAATATCATGAGGAAAGGGGTGTACTTGGAAGACTAACACTGCACCACCGTACAACGGGATGAGGAATTCTCACTCTTGGCCGTTTCTAAGCATCTGAGTATCTCCGTTCCCACACGAGCTACGACTGCCATCTCACTACGGACCCTGCACAGGACTTTGGGGGGGGAATCACAACTCCACATAGCCACTGTGCCTGCTGTACTCGTCACGTTACACATCCCCAAACATTTTTTTCATTTTTTTTTTTTAATCCTCAGGCCGCCTGACTGACTCACAATTCGGCTAGCATTCAGCGAGCCCACACCGCCTTGAAGTCGATCTCGTCTGCCAGAGAAACTCCAACTGAAGGCAGCTAGCGGGGAGTTCCTCTGGCAGCGGAGTGATGAAACACAGACAGCAGTGGGGAGCCCACGCCTCTGCAGAAACACAAGACCCACTGACATCCTGGGAGCCAGAGCAGTGGAACTGAGTCTAAAAACCTGTCAGGAGGAGAGAGGAAAAAAAACACCCGACGGACACGATGCTTTGACATTTTAGCAGCACGTGACACGACCCATGACTTTCTCTTCCCCCTCCTCCGACAAACCCTGTTTCTTACCGACACTCCAAACGCCAGAAGGATCCCACAAATTAGTATCCATCCTGCGTGTCTGCTGCAATTCGACTGGGCAACATTGTTGAGAACCTGTCACTGTTGCTAAGACTGCTCTAACAAAAAGCTTCTTAAAACGGCAGATTTAAACACCCAGTAATAATAGCAGAATCAAGATGAAATAACTAGTAGCATTCTCCATTTTCCGACTTTATTCTTGATGTTCCTTAAGCCTTACCACCGGGCAATTGTAAAAGCACAAAAAAAAATCTACCGATTTAAAAGTTTCCCTTCACAGGCATGGAGCTCTCAGGCTCATCAAGCCCAGAGCAGTTTACAGGCGACACCGATCACTGGCCCTGCAGCCAGTTCAACACACACTTTCCTCCAGCTGCTGAACAAAATGTCAACAGTATTCTTACATGGTTAAAATTAAAACTGTTTCACGGCATTCTACAGCCATCATACATCAATACAACTGGATTCCAGGCAACCAGTTCTTCCAAATATCTGCATTCTAGAAATAAATGGAAATGCCCATAGGAACACACCTTGTCAATTAAGTAATGGCACTTAGTGACCTGTGCTTTTCATTGTTTTCTTACAGAAGCCCATCATAAGGCATACACACTTATCAGTCATAATTAATTAAGAGAGTCAGTGTACCATGCTCTGAAAAGCCAATACAACTCCAAGGTCAGAAGCAGGTCAATTCAAAATTCCACCAAAAACCTCAAAAATCTGAATTCTAAGGTCTTTGAAAATAAATGTGTAAATTGCAATAAGTGTATCTGAATGTTCTCTCTCTCTCTGTAAATATTTACTGTGCAATATTTTATTTCAATGTATTTTTCCTCAAATTCAGTGATCAAAGCTTATTTTATGAATCCTAACATACTGGTAAACTAAAGCGAACTTCCCCTTGCCTAGGTACCACACAAAACCAGCCTGGAATGAGCTCGTGAGAAGGGAAAATGATTTATCCGAGAGGCCAAGGAGGAGCAGCACTACTTCCCTGCACCTCCGACAGATGGGGAAAAAACCCCTTCAGAACACTCTCGCCTTCTCACTAGCCGGCACTAGAAAAACCCCTAGAGAGAAGGGGTGCAGTGTCAATTGACACAGATTAAGGCAAACCCAGCACAGTACAAAACTTCATACAAGTGGGGGCTGTCTCGAGCCCCACAGCCCTCACGGCCCCTCGTCTCCAAGGTGACTCTCGCAGAGCAGCGTGCTTCCAGCTCCTCTCATCAAGCCGCCTGCCCAGATCACCAGTCTACTACAGGTGGGCAGGGGCGCTCAGACCTCCGGAAGGATTTTTGGAGCTTCAGTCAAGTACCTGTACAGCAATGACGAAGCCTCCACTCAAAAGCTCCGAATGACGACCCCACTCAAAACCTGCAGGGGATGGGGGCAACAGTTGGATCTCCAAGGGGAAAGGAAACCAATGAGCCAAAACAGCCCACTTTCCTGAGCGAGGACCTCTTCCATCGGGACAGAAAGTGCTCCTGGACTCCAGACTGGACGGCCCACTCAACAGCTGCCCAGCTGACTGCGGACCCCCACATTCTCACGACTACTCCTTTACACTACGCAGGCTGCTTTCTGCCATCACCGATGGACGCCTTGGTTAACGTGTTTCAGGCCTCTTAACTTTTACAATCGGCTGGAATTAAGGCACATTCAAGGCCTGGAGGAGCAAAACGCTCCAGTGGAGAGGAAGGCGAGCCCTGAGAAGGAGCACAAAAGGGACAACAAAACTGGTACGTTCGAGATTGGCGAAGACGACGACGCCCCAACCTGCTACTTCCACGATATCGCCAGGGACGATATCCCTGGCTTTGATCCGCTGGACGCTCTTCCGGTCCTGCCGGTACACTTTGCCCATCTCCGGCTCGTACTCTTTGAGGGCTTCGATGGCATTTTCAGCATTCCGTTCCTGTGGAGCAAGAGAGAAAACCAGCTCTGAACCCCAGAGTGCACGGTCACGGACTGCCACTGGCAGCTAAAGGCGAACTGGGTTAATAACCAAGACTGTCACTGCATCAGCGCGTGGAGAGCCATCTACTTGATGTCTCACAGGCTGCAGACTCATCTTTAGGACAAAACCCTGGGGCTGCACACATCAAGCTTGCTTCCCTGAATACAACGGAAGTATGGGAAGTTGAAATCGGGCAGATTGTTGCTGGTGAAGCAGAAAGCAATAATATACGCAAGCACGCCAAGCTCTAAAAAAAAAAAAGTCAGCCTCCTGCTGCACTAAGCTTCTCTGCATGTTGTCGGTCCTGCCATTTTAAGAAAAAATAAAAAGGAAAATGGAAAAGGTTTGCAAAAGACGTTTCAAGTGAATTTCAATTCAATATCACTACCTTCGCAGAAAATCACAGACTTTGCATGGATATGTCTATAAATACATCTGTACACAGTACAGACACACAGGGGTTTCAACTTTCATTCTGAAATTATTTAAATGCATTTTAACTCATTGTTAGCATTCTTAATTCTTGCTTTTAGAGCCGTATACAGATCATTAAAAAGAAAACAGCTGACAGGGAGAGAAGTCAATTTCTGCCACCTCCAGGTCAAACAACGACCACTGTTGGGACATAATGAGCCATCAAGTCCACCATCTGCTGGGTAAAATCTGAGGGCATCACATGCCGGACCAGTGGGAAGAACATGAGGCACGCTCGGCCACACTGCTACAGCCTGGCTGCCTCATGGCTTTCTAAACAGATCAGGTCACTGAGATGCCTGCGACCTCCTGGAAGCTTCCTTTCTCAGCCAGAGGAGCGTCAGGGGATTGTGGGAAAGCTGCACAAAGGTGCCAGACGGGGCCGAGAGTCTTCGCTGAAGTCCAGAAAAGGCAGTCACAGTGAAAGACCTTCTAAAAGCTAGTGTTGGCGTGCCATGATTAAAACAAAGCCTATTACAGCACAGTTATTAAAAATCGCACACACCGACGAGACCATAAGTCAAGGCAGAAGCCAATGGAAAACCCAAGCAGCGCAGACGAGGACCAGGCCAAAATTGTCGGTCTTGGTAACCGACAGAAAGACAAGGACCTCAACTGGCAAGATGGCATCTACCCAACATCCCCAATGTTAAGAGATAGCATCAAATGTTCATGATAGTTTTCATAGGTAAAAGTTACCTTCTGCATTGTAAACTAAGTGAGAGATTCCCTATGGCGAGGGGATGACCAAAAATCCACCCATGGGTAAAAGCATGGAAAAACCTAGGACTGAAATAACTTCCCATAGCACCCTAAGGGTCACCTCACTATCCCTGCCTTAATGTTCTGTCCCACAATGCTCCGCTCACAAGTCCCATTTACCATGCCAAACACGGTGTGTTGAAGGTGCACCATCGAAAAACCCTGCTCTTACCTTCTTACAGACAATGACTGACTCATGTACTGTAATTCTTGTGGTTTGGGGATACAAACGAGAAGCTTGAATCGGCTAGTCTGAGCAAAACGGGCTTATCAAGGATGTCCACAAAGAACCGAAGGAAGAGACATCACATACGGCAGGACACTAAGTCTGGATGTGGACGAAGCCTTTTCAAAATCACCTCACCACAGAGCACACCCACCCTCCCGCCGCTGAACTCTGGCAGCTCTCACAGTGGAGGCGATGGACAGGAGCCAAAGAGGATTTAGAGATGGAGGACTATCACGGCGACATTCAGTACTTTCTAGTTTCAAAAATAACCCTGGCAAATGAAAGGAAAAATGTGAAAACTATTTTGAAATAACGCTTTCAAGCCTTAAAGGGAGAAACCCAGGCAGCACATGATGTGAAGAAAAGAGGGCAAAACTACCTTGCTATTCTTTTCAACATAAATGCAGATTCCGATCATTACTTCTGGCCTCTTGCTGTAAGACGCGGACAACAGGGAGAACCTGCCCCTTGACGTTCCTCAGAACAGTACAAACAGCAGTGCCCCAGCTCCATGCTCTCTTTAACGTGCTCTCAACTGCTGCGTGCGTTTGGAAATTAAGACGCTGCAGAAGTCAGGCAAGAGCAACGCCTTTGCAACAGCTTCCTTTACAGTGTTCTCAGCCCGCTGACTTTGAAGCTGCCCCTCCCTCCTGACCGCCGAGCACTAAGGGATAAAGTCCACTGGTGCGTCAGCTTGTGCTGTGGACGCCCAGCTGCCTAGGAGGACAGACACCAGCAAGGGAGCGACTGCCTGCTGATCACAAGTGCGAAGGTCGGGGGCGCACAGCTGTACTCTGAACCCAGGGCTTGGCGTCTCTCAATGCAACAGCGGGACAAGAAGCTCACACAAGGGGCGTAAGACTGGCACATCGATGCCAACACATCACCTAAACCTACTACAAGGGACATCGAGCCAACCTGAACTGACATGCATGCCTCCAAACCAAATTACAACAATCTATTTATACTGCTCCAAGGGCAATGCTAAATATTAAATTGCTATCGGGTGGAAAAGTGTTGGTAAGGGGCAAGGAGAACGGAAAGTAACCTTCCCTCATTCTAAAATTCTCTACAACCACAAGATAACCTGGTACAGGTGAAATTGGTCCTCAGTTATAAAACGAAGTCGCCACCTCTTGAAGTATGCTATAGCATTATCCAATGCCGAGTGGTCTAAAGCTCCAAACACATGTCATTGTTTTGAATACTGCTGTACTCGGTTAATATACTCGGCACTCTGTTCATATGCAAACAGTTGGCTACAGCATAAAATATTTTCACATACCGTGGAAAGTAGGTCTCATTCACATAGTTTTATCAAAGCACACAACTATAGAATTCTTTTTTTTTTAAAAAGTTAAATAAGGTCAAACAAAATATTTATTGCAACTTTCTAAAAATATGTTGTGCATCAGAATTAGTGGCATACATCTAAGAAAATCTGCACAATGTGAAGAATCAGATAAAAAGTATGTTTCACAGAAAGTGCAAAAGACTATCTTAGATGGTATTCCCCCAGGTGAAGACTGTAAAATCTTTCTCTCAGGAAATTCTCTTTAAATAGCCAGTCAGTTCAAAGGAGGAAACCTTCCATTGCTCTTGGGTTATCTGTCCCCGCACAGGGAAGTACTTCACTGGCTCTTTTCGGCATACGTGTGGATTGATTGCGACAAGACCATTCACACGCCCCGGACAGGATGGCATGGTCCACTTCCTGGGTAACACGCCAAGATCAGCGCCCCGGAGTACAGAGCTGGCAGGCTTCAGCGCACAGCAGGACGAGAAACAAGCTGCGCTGTGCCAGCCTAAGGGAAGATTAGTACCCTCACTTTCACAAACCCAGGGTCCTGCGCGCTGGGTTTAAAAGGAGACCTGCAACGACTGCCACACGAGAGACGTGGCCGATCCGATCTTCTCATTCACAAAAAACGCCTTCAGCTCCTCTCGTCTTGCGTCATGAAACACGGGCCCTAGGGAGAGCGACCTTTCCCCGATTTCCTGCTTGACAAAGGGCCCAGGAGAGGTCACTCCATCTCGAAACCAGAAAACCTCTGAGAGACGAGATTTATTGCGACCACAAATCTCCCCTGCATCCTCCGCTGGAGTCCTTCCAGGAGGCTTTGAGGAAGGCCAGGCCAGAGGCATCAGCCCTCACTTGCGTTAGAGCCCAGCCTTCCAATGATCAGAAGTCACAGAAGAGTCTGAATTGTGACTGGAAAAACAGCGCTGGGGAGCAAGATGCCTTCTCTCATTCCACTGCAACTTAAGGTGCCATTAACTAAAAGCTGCGGATGCATTAAAGGATGATCTTTGTTTCTCTGTGGCTTTGACAATAGGCAGAAAAGCTGTGTGTCTGCTAATGCCTAGAAGAATGAAAAACATTTTGCACAGAGGCAAGTACAGCCTCACAAATCAAAAGCCACCTTATGCTTTGATACACCAGCATTGACTTTGCACTGTCACGTGGTTGGAGGACAAAGGCACCCTGATCAAAATGCGATGGGACAAAAGGAGAACCTGCCCGGTGAAAAAGTGCAATAGGAAGCAAAGCACAGAGCACCACTGGTGATTGGGGAAAACTCTGCCCCTCCGTTTTCAAGTGGTTACAAACTGTTCCAAGTCGCAGGCTCCGATAATCACACCCGACACCCGGAGGGGAGAGATCACGGGTTCTCAAGGTTTTTAGGAAGAAACCTAAAAAGCAGCAGCCCTCCAGCTTGACCTGGGAGTTGTATGGGGGAGGTGACTGCTGGAGATGCTTGTTCAGCAGCTACTTCTCAATATCTTTTACACAGAAAGAGTAAGCGATAAGAACGCTTCTCGGCCCACAATCACATTTCAAACACCAAAACAAGCAGATTAGCTGCAGCTCCACTCCTAATCAAAGGGATCCTTACCGGCTTTGGTTTCATGAAACAAACCTTCCTATCAATGGCAAAAGCCCGTTTTCAATGAGCTTGGCAAAGTGGGATATTAATGAGCTTTAAAGCTTATGTTTAAGCCCTGCTGCACTTCATCCAGAAAACAGAGAAGGGACAGTTTGTACAGTAATTCAGCAGTAGAAAGGGAGGCTAAGGATGAACTGCAAGAGGATCCTGTGCTAGCACAAGGACTGGGCCTCCTCCACTACAGCATTCCAGGGATGGATTTATTTTAGGCTACGAATCTAAATAAACCTAAACAAAGCTGAAGACAAAATCACTGGACTTTAAATTTGATTTGCCAAATAAAGAATACAACTGAGGACCTAAACCTTAAAGTATGGGATAGGTTGAAAAACTACAAAAAGACTAAATATTGGTCTTGCAAGACATTCAGTGCACATGAATCATTTGTAGTTGCTTTCCAAACAGAGGTTAAAATCAGCTATAATTTTAAGAAAAAAACCTTGCTGGAATTTGGTTTCATAGCAACACATCTAAAGATTCTAAAGTGCATCAATGACCCAATTCTAAGTTCTATTTTCAGAAGGCTTTTTTTCTTGCCTTCCCCATTGAGGCTCTGAAGACTATTTCAGGGAAACTGGGAAAAAAAACTGTGATATGACATTGCAACGTCCTTCTGTGGAGATCAGTTCTAGCAACTACATAAACGTTTTATAATAATAATAGGTTTTCAGCTGTTTCAGCAGCAGTAGGAGTGGGTAAAAAGTTAGGGATAGACATTTTCAGCATTGGGAAGAAAATGTTTATTTACCAAGCGTTGCTTCCCTTTTTCGTCTCACCTTGGTTTTGAAAATCCTTTCGAACGATTCCCTGCTGCAGGTGAACAGTAGTCTCTGCATTTTTACGCTTTGAATGTCTCTCTCATGCCCGTGGACAACTTCTGCCACACCCTGACTCATTCTCGAACCCATGTCGATTCTGTGCTACTCCCTGTCCACTCATTTCCCAGCCTGCCCACTCAATCACACCCAGTTTAGATTGCCTTCTGCCTTGTATCAGATCTCATTTACTCCTTCTCTTCAGTCAGCCCTTCTGTGACTGGGTCATCTCTTCCTTGGTCATAATCAGAGCCCTGTCTCTCTCATCTCACCTCTTCCTGCCTCTAATCCCCTTATTTCCTTTCTCCTTAACACCTCCCTGGTCCCAGGCTTTCCATACAAACCCCACCCATGGTCCCTCATCCCTTCAACTATCGACCTGTGTCTCTTCTTCCCCTTCTTTTAAAACACTAGAGCCTGCAATGCTCCATCTCATTCCAGAAAAGTATAAAACCTGAATTCGACTGATGCAATGCTTTCATCAAACACTGCAGTTAATACCCGTGGATACTCTTGCGTTCTTCCATTCAGTCCTTACCCCTGTAACTCCCATGGACTGTTACAGATTTCAAGAGGGGTTAATGGGGAGTGTATGAAAATACGAACAGCACCAACTATGAGGAGATCGCAATGCTCATCTGAGTCGCTTGGTTGCCAATAAGCAGCATAACAATCCCTCTTCATCAAGATGCTCAGTCAAGAAACTGATCTTTCCAGATGGGCCCAGAAGGCTTCCTAGATTGCAGAGGAATCTAATTCTTGAGTGTTGCTACAGGATAGGGGATCAGTGTAAAGCAGTGCCTTGAAAATGAGACAATTGGATTCATTATTCAAAATACACCCTAAAATTATTAGGCAAGACTACTGCATCACAAGACCAGGGAACATTTGTAGCTCACACTGTGTTTCGTGGATGACAATCATATCCCAGCTGTGGTGCAGACATATGATGCGTTCAAACACAGTTGATCTAGTGCCAGAAAGATGCCCGTTTCACACTTCCTGCAAAGATCAAAATGCCATCAAGAGTGGACCTGGCTTCATGGTAACGGAATGCATTCTCACATTAGCCCTCAAGCAGGACACACATGGTCACAAGGTGGCGTTACCTAACCAACAAGTCTGGAGTACAGCTAAACCCATTTTGTTCACATATATTCGATTTGAAACAAAGGGAAGCTTTGCGCAATTGGGTTAAACATAGCGTAGCCTTTTCTGTTTCTACTTGATGACTGCATTTTATTTTGCTCACGTTTACGATGTGCCATTCCCATTACTAACAACAGCGGGAGATTAATTTATAAGATGAAGGGCCTGTCACAACTATAAGAGCACCATCTGTATAAATACACATTCTTATTACACACATATTCAAAGTGAGAACTTCCATAGCGTACAACCTGAAAGAAAAAGGATGAAAATAGGCAGAAAATCCATAACACTGTTGATGAAAGTGGTACAAAGTCTCCGACTCTCCATTTACATTTGAAGACCCCAATCAATGTAGCAACAGAAAGCACCCACCCCTGCCTGGAGAGTTACTAATTGTCTTACCTGCCACACTCCCACAATGGCATTGGCTATTAAAATAAGTAGGATCACAAAAGGCTCCACGAATGCTGTGATTGTTTCCTCTCCCTCTTCAAACCAAGCTAGTACCTGAAAAGAAAGAGAGATCCTGTTAAAACAGAAACTGCAACTACATTCTGCTACAGACCTCTTAAATTTCAAAATATTGACCTCACATTTATTGAAAACTATTTCTGAAGCCATTCTGTAAAATAAAACCATAAAGATCAGGATCAAATGGAAGTTGCTACTGAATGACTCAAATTTAACTGCTACTTTTCAGAGGCGTGACGGGCACCTCTTTTCAGGCAAAAATGAAATTCAGCAATGTGAAACTTCCATAATTGTATTTAATAAATGGAAAAACCAGAGGCTGAAATCACTAGTGAGAACCCTTAGCTCATTATCAAGGAGTGTTTTTCAAAGTTAAGAAAGCTCTGTAGCTCTTAATTGGCAGTTTCTCTAAAGGTCTTAGGTCCTCTTTATCCATAGTGCCATCAGCCAAAAAAAAACCCAACAAAAACATAAATGGAAAAAAGAGGAAGTATGAATGAAAATGGGGAAAAAAACAACATTCTGGCAAGAATGAAACATTTTGCCGAAATGACTTCCAAGGGGCACGACAAGTGAAAGGGCTTTGCTTGGAGCAGAGATCACGAGTTCAGGTCTTGAGACCTTTTGTTGACTTGGGTCCCTAAAACAGCAGTCAGCCAGGGCAAACACTGCTGGCTTAACAGGGACTCTGCTGGCACCCCCAGCTGCGTGAGCCTTCCATTAGGATGCTTCATTCTGCTCTTTGTGTGCGTGGGGGGTTAATAGTGTTATTAGAGAAAGATGACAATGCACTTTACAGAAGCAGTCTGTGTCCCCGGTCCATAGTTCAAGGAGTTTAGCACTGGGGCTCCCTATTCTACAACAGGGAATTCCATAACTGCGGGTGCAAAACAAATAACTGAAAATAACGGCACAGACATTAACAGAAGGATTTGAATTAAATTTTCCCCAAGCTTGCCCAGTACTGAGATTATTATAGTAGTGTTAATATACATCTCTAATTAAATATGCTTTAATTTGAGGTCCCTTCCCAAGTCTCAATCCTGAGCACGGACTCTAGTTACCTTCCCATTAGCATCTATTCCTTCCACAATACATTGTACAGTCTTGTTTTACTCTCAACGATAGCTACTGAAGCCTTCTTATACAAGGCTGTTGTAAATATGCTCCAGAAACACAAAGAGGCCCAAGCAGCACTGATGCATTATAAACACTTCCCTTCAGCGGCTTGTCCTCCTTGAAGACACGATGGCAGACGAGCTCCTGATGACAGGAGATCTGCATCACTGCACCAGCTGTCAATGAACTCAAGGCAGAAATTCAACCAAAGAATCCCTAGGAAGTCCTCTGCACAAATGAATCATCGTGCTCCTCCTATGTTGCCAACAATACTGACGTCCTTAAAATACCATTTTTTGGCATCGACAAAAAGACTGGGTGACTGAGCATAACCAGTATCCAAGGATAAATCTCAGTCAGCTTCAAGGGCAGCAGGCTGATCCCCTCCAATTCCACCCAATCCACAAAGCGAATGCCTTGGATCTTGCCGTGTCCTAATGGCCACTCCAGAAATCAAGAGACAAAGGCAAAACAGAACAGAGCCCACAACCTACTCACTCCAATGTCACAGCACTGCCAGCAGGACGATTCTCTCAACAAGAACTCCTGCATATTCCACTGCCCCTTTAAAAGCTACTCGTCTTCAAGTGGCATAAATGTGCATAAGCATTGTACTTCACACAGACTGAGACAGAGTTTTACCATACAAAGTTATAGTGAAAATGCAGAAGAACATGCGCTTACAATACAGGAAAACTGCATTCTACTTAATAAGACATTCTGCCACAGCCGACAATGATGCTGATGTATGGCTAGCTTGAGCAGCTCCAGAGACACCTCGAGCACCTTTCCCGACCAGGACAGCCCCCCAGTCTCAATCCTGCGGGACACCAGTGGAACTTGTGGAACGGCAGCAATCACAGGCCTGACACACGACCAGGACAAGGCCGGGCTATAAATATGGTTTAAAAAAAAAAAAACATGCCCTACATGCCCCATTCCTGTCCAAACTGTTCTTGCTCCTTGTAAAGGCCCATCGTGCTTCCTGAGTTTTTGGCCTGTGAATATATGAACACTTGGGTAGTTTAGACTATCACATTCCCAACCAAATGCCCATCTGCAGTATATTCTGTCTGGCCTGAGTTTCTCAACTACCTGTGACTTCTAGCAAACAAGGGGACTCTGCTAAGGCATGATATCTATAATACTTCAAAAACATGATATGAAAAAACAGCTATACTGTCCATATTTTTCACCATTTCACAACAGAGGTGGCTGTGCATTAATATCTGCACAGTTTTTCCTTTAAAGTACAAAAGCACAATGATTATAGTAAAGCTTCAATAAACTATAAGGAGCTTCCTAAGGTCTTGGTAACTAATCTTAATTAATTTTATGACTTGTTCTTTCAGGATTTAAAGCTATTGTTAGCAGGCCAACAGCAGTAACTGGCATACAGCTAACCAGCTAGCTCCAGGTTCCAGCGTCGTCCATTAAATAACTGAAAAAACTTGTCCTGATTAATCTGTAAAGCCCTGATGTTACTCTTGGCTAAACTTCTAACATCCAGAATTATGCACAGTCATATCATTCATAACAGTAGTAAATGTAAACTACTAATAGCTAATTGTTATCACAGAAATAAGGTTTTATAATGTTAAAAAGCTGGGAATACACACATTCCTAATACAGCCTGATTTCATTCCAGAAGACCACTTCAAATCCTCAAAACCCAACGTTTCACAGTTATTTCATACAGCGCCATTCCACACCTTAATTACATTCATTCTTCTTGATAATGGTCATCTTTCCAAAAACGGAACACTATTTAAAAATAAACTTCTGTCTCCTTGCGCTTTAATCACCTTTTCACCCGAAATCTTTGATTCTCCAACCTGTTGGGGTTTCCAGTCAACACTCTGGGTTGTGTGTTCAGTCCCAAATTCTACTCAACCACACACTGGGAACAGGAAAACTAGTTTCCACAGGGGAGGTTTCTACAGAATTGCAAACAAAACACTAAAACAGGGGAACAAAGACCAAGTTAGAGATCCACCTGGCCGACCACTGTTCACCTAATTAAATTAGAAAAGGGCGTCTAATTAAAATGCGACGCCTTCTGCGACAGCAATTCAGAAATGCAAAACGTCCGCTATGCCAACAGTCAAATATAGGCGCACCTGATCAACAGCTGTTTTAACTGGCCTTTCCATGCCACACTCTAGCAGGACAGAAACAGCACAGGAAGCCCAGTTGTTTCAAGTATGGGAGCCCATTGGCACAACACATGCTAGACGTTTCTATGAGAAGCGCTGCTGTACACACATGGAAAATCCTGCCTTTCCTACGCTGCCCATGAAAACCCGACTGTTACTCAAAACTCAAAAACTTAGTGGGGAACAAATCCTAAACCATTTAAGCCATGTAGCTGAACTGCCAGACTGGCTGAACCTTTTCAGCAGCAAGATAAATCTATCCCCTCCGCACAATCATAAGGCCCGAAAGCAGCTAATGGGAAGCAGCTGGAGGAACTGACTTGACAGCTAGACCATTAAAGAGCCCAGTAGACAAAGACGGCCAGGTACCCACCCTCTCCGCCCACTTCATCTGAAAGGGCTCTGCATTCGTCAACAGATACCCTGCACTCAACTTTCTCAACACTCGGTCACATCATCCTCCACAGGCCGTTCTCTCTTTTCCCCCACCAAGTTCCGGATTCCAGAGAAATCTGGCCACTCCTTCCCGTTTACTGGGGGAAGTAAAAGCAATCCGTTTTATCATCTCTGGATCAAAACATCAGGAATGCCGAAAACTCCGATTCCCGAACCCTGGCGCCGTGCCACTGCATGAACAACTCCGTCAGCAAGGGAAAAGACTGCTTTTCTAAGTAAATGCACTATGTGTGAATATGCAGTATGCATGAATATTTAATAAAATGAACTGTCCAACAGTCTCTCTTCTATTGCTTTGTGCTTTAAAACCACCCACACATCCCGAGCTGCTTCAACAGTGTCCACATCTGCGTTCCGAGTTTATTATATAATGGACATCAAGAATCCCTGGTCTAAACAGACCAAGATTACTCAACATATTTTTACATTTTTTCTTAAAACCGCACATTCAAACATAAACAGGGAGCTGTTTTTCAGGACTGCACGCTACCTGAAAGGAAACACAGCATGACAGACAATAGCAGGATTTGTTAGCACAAGTCCTATCTGAGATTAATAATCACGTCTGAAAAGACCGAGACTTATTTTGGAGGCAAAAAAAAAGGGCGACTTCATAATTAACTGTACATATAAAAAATGAACCATTTTCCAACTGAGAAGTCTAGGGCAATGCATATCCATACAGTCAGTACACATACATAACTGGTATTACAACTACGAAAGGCAACGTTTCCACAGATGAATAAGAGTTCAGAAACTCTTTCTTCTCTCTGCCACTCGGTTTTGTTGTCTTGAACACCATCTTCCATCATCACCGTGCCACTCCTTCCCAGCAAGAGCCAGGACGACCCAGAGAACATCTTATACTCAACTTGTTTCTGGGGCCGTGTCGCACCACGAAGTCAAGACCGAGACGCCCCACAATGCCCGCCTGTAAGCCGCTATAGGATTTTGTTTTGGACTGGGGCCTAAACGCGGCTGCGTTCTGTTCAACTCCCGCCGATTCGGTAAATCATCAAGTGCAGACGAAGTGGCCAACACTGAGTGGCTCCGCTTCCCTTCCAAGGTCAGTGCCCAAATTTGGTCAACCTGCGTGCCCCCTCTCACCTCCTCCCCCCACATCACTCAGAGAGCTGTCAGGAGCAGCAACTGCCACCTCGCTATCGCAGGAGAGGGCATGCCAGACAACTGGAATGCCATTTTCCAACAGTGGCCAAAGATCCCTCTTTTACGCAACAGGACAGGCCCGGCTCCCACACCATCCCTCTGCGGAGGAAAGCTTTAAGAGGATCTCAACGATAACCGAGTACAAAACCTACCACTCAAGATGTACCGTACATCGACGGGCTGTCACGGGGCCAGTCATGCGAACTGCGTCAGACGTTTCTCATGGCGATGCCCTGTAATCTATGCTTTATGCAATGAGCCCTGCACGATTAGCATCTGACCTTTATTTATTAGGAAGGTAAATGCCAATCCAGTCCTTTGTACCATGCCAAAACCACACAAGAAGTAGAGCACAATGTGGCACCACATTTCTACAACTGCACGACTTGGTAACAATCCTGGCCTTCGTCTTTTTTGTCTAGAAACGCGATACGTCTTCTCATATATCGATGCACGTCTCTCTCTGCCAGAGCCTATTTTGCTTCTAGGATGCAATTAGTTATTTTCTTCCAGTAGAGCGAAGGACAGAACAAGGTTACTCAGGCATGCCTTCATTTCAGTCTTACAGACCACCACTGACGTAGTTTTTCACATCTTCATGCTATTCTTCCAATTATTAATCCTTGGATCCAATAATTAGGCTGACTGAACCTGAAACACTTGGATAGTCTAATATTACACAACAAACACCTAACCATTAATACAAGACAATACCGCAGGTTCTGCTTATACAGGTATCACCTTTTACATTCGAGATCCGTACAAAAACGTGCAGTTAGACATAACGTAATAAGCCAAGTACATTGTTGCTTCTATGTCTGGCTCAGCATGTGCCAACTAAAACCCCATTCCGGTGAGCCCATCCTGCATTAGACTTGTCATCAGTTCAGGGGGAATTACAGCATGGCCTGGGTGAAACTGGCCCCACCCCCAGGCAATTACAACAAAATGCGAGATCTCGTCACAAGTGCACTGAGAGCACAGCAGATGAACGCGAGCCAATAGGCAGTACAGCCAGCCCCCTGCACTTCATGTCAGCCCCCGGTAACCTGATCCTCGTTCCCCGCTGTCGTCGCCATTCCCCGGAAGCTTGGCTTCTTCCCAGCGGTGTCAACCGTCGGATCTGCAAGAGCAGCCTCAAACAGGGCACACACGCCCGCGCCCATGTTCTCGGAAGGCTCTGCTAATCTCCTCGCCGCCGGCACTGAAACACCGGCTTCCTTGGTATGGCCATTATTTTTAGCCTTCCTGATTTATCAATGCCGTTTGCCAACACCCGACAGTACAAGTGTAGCCAAGGCAAACATTTGCTGCTAGACGCCAGTTCGTTCGACAAGCCCACTCTGACAGCCTCCTTGCACAGGGAAACCAAATTAGTGTTCGGGCTCCTGGCCTTGTGATGGGATGACTCACTTCTAACTCCTTACATCTGCAAAGAGGCTTTCATGCCAGAGCATCACACCCCTCCATCAGTGTCCCCAGTCACCATCCTGGTGCGCCAGTTTGAAGGCTGTGGTCCAGATGGAAGAGCACCACCACCTGGTCCACTCAACACCTGCCGCTCAGGGGTCCCACCCCAGCACTGCCCAGGCCCAGGACCCATGCTCTGTGTAGTTCAGTCACTATATTCGTTCACAATTAAAATGACACGTATCCTCAGTAAACTGACAAACGAATGAAGGCGGCAGGTGGGAATGGTATTGACGCCAAACAGAGAAACCAGCCGACGACGGCCCATCCCTGAATATAAACCACTGATTCCGCCCCACGCCAATAAACAAGGGCGCGATTTTCATTTTTCGGCCAACTAAGCAAACCTACATTAACCTCACATTTTGAAGTGACCACTTGTATTACAATACAAGCATCATCAGGAGATTTGTCAAGTCCATTAAGCCAAGAAAGTATTTCCTGGTAAGTTTTTTTTTTAACACAGAGGACTTATTTAACACTACTAGCTCAGCTGTCATACCTGAAGATCAAATCTCTGAACATCCAACATGATGGCTACACTCCCTTGCTTATACCTAACCTGGCCTATTCACACCTCAGCCAAGTACTTTGAATATTAACAGCCACAGACGTGGGCGGTTTAAAAAACTAGGTTAGGATCTTAATACCTTGACTGGAAACTGGTCTAACACATTAATGGCACCAGGTTCTCTAGAGTGACATTACGTTTACAGTGTTACAGTAGGCATACCACTGGAAAAAGGTTTTAAAGTTCACTCAGGGACAACGTAACTTGCGAAGATTTAGGCTTAAAAGTTTTAAGGCCTATATTTGGGCATTTCTGACTGCATAAGGAACGGCTGATGTTTAAGCAATAAATCTATACTGCCACAGAAGTTTCCAAATAAGAATAAATCTCAACAAAGGACAAAATCCCTCATCGCCACAGTAAGTATCCTTCCAGACTCATGCAAAAGGCTGTGATAAATAAATTACTAGTAGATTAGGGCAGTGTAGCAGAGTGGGTGTGTTTCTTCTTTACTGACACGCTGCGGGTTCGAGTCACTGCTGGTGCAACTTGAGTGAGGTATCTGACCCCAGTTGCTCCAGTCCTCCCAGCTGTAGAAGTAGGGACCAGCATTGCTGGGGGGGGGGGATTCCTGCAAAGGACTGGCCTCCTATCCTGGGCTACTCCTCAAAACTACACAACTCATACCTGAGCCCATCCTGAACTTGACCTTTTGACCTTAGGCAAACGACGAGAACCAGGTAGTGAGGTTAAACTGAATACCCAAATATCTGTCAGGAAGAAGCATGCGCAGTTAATAAGTGATAGCTAGACAAGGACTACACTCTCCTCGACTCATTCTAGAGTTCCTACACAAGGAGGAAAAGGTGCAAAGAGCATCAAAGTAAAACTGCACTCAGATACATGCAAATTATGCACGCCAGCATTTGCTTCAACATAAAAAGTAAGATGTCCACCAGTTCTGGGCCCAATTCATTTACAGTGAAACATTTAGAGCTGCCTGCTCAGGTCAAACACCTGCAAGGCAGCCAAAGTAAGTTTCAACAGCATGCCGGGAGGTTGCATCGGGAAAATACCCAGGACAGTTTGGTGATCTGTGCCTCTTTTTTATTAATTGTAAGGGACTGATACTGGGTGAAGGCTTCGAGGCGCATACTTACAAAGGATATACAAGCTGCCAGTAGAAGAATTCTGACTAATAAATCTTCGAACTGCTCGACAACGAGTTCCCATAAAGATTTTCCTGCGGACAGAATAAACAGACAAATTCAGAGTGGAATAAAACGGAATGAGCCCCTCCAAAAAAAAAATGGGGGGTTTTAAAATATTAATAAAACGGCGGTGCTGCTTACCTTCCTCGGCTGGCAGTTCTGGGGTTGCGTGTTTCCAAGGAACAAACCAGAAAGCGACCGGGGGAGGAGGGGGGGGGGAGAGGAAGAGGAGAGAGTTACACAGGCAACAAAAGATCAAAATCTCCGTTTACACAGCAACGCTAATAAGATGTGCGCTTTGTTGACATTTGAAACACGACCCAGGGCGGCCGTGCATGAGGACCCCCCGCACCCCGCAGCGTCTTCGGGCGCAGTGGCAGGCGTGTGCCGAGCCGTGCTCCGCGTCGCTACGAGGAAGTGGGTGTCCACGCCGAGGACACGGGGAATCGGCGGTGTTGCAATGCACAGGGCTGGTTCAGCCGAGTCATGCGCAGGGGCGAAGTGAGTACGGGCGGCCCGCAAGCCAGCCCGGCGCCGCCGGTGAGATGAAGCCGAGAGGCGGCCGGAGCTGTTCGCATCCAACCCCCACCTCACCTGCGCTTTCGCTAGGTCACCGGGCTTGAGACGAGACAGGGAGAAACGTGAGCTGGGAAGCCGAGTCCGAGGCCCTGAGCCGGCTTTTCCCCCCAACCCCCCAGCCCGCTGGAACCGGGGAACAGCCGCAGAACAGCCCCCTCCCCTCCGAAATCTTCCGATTCTCACCCACCGGGTCGGTTATCGCACGCATTCAAGGTTAACGGCGAGCTTCCCTCTTTCCCCCGCGATAAGGCGAACGGATTGAAAAACCCACGAGGTTGTACATGATGACGTCAGCCATTTTCACTATCCATTTTTGAGCATGCCGGTTACTGTACTATAACCTGGCTGCATAAGACGGGCCTTGCGTTGCGTAAAAATAAACCACTAACCCCCCCCCCACACACACACACAAAAAAAAACCAACACATTTGTATACATAAAAGACTTCTGGAAATGAAACGGCATCACTTACCGTTCGGTCCCCATTTTTCTTTATTCTTTTTCACCTGATCCAAACTCAGCCCTGTGCTCTCATTGACGTTAAAATAGCTATAGACCTCCTCCACAGTCTTTGTGTGCGCGTTCTCCATGGTGGAAATGCTCCCCTTGTGAAGACACTTTTTTTCTTTCTCTCTCTCTCTCTCACTTTGTGGACTCGGCCACCTTTCAGTCCGTGTCAATTTCGCCGCACGTCCCTTTCGCGAAGGAAGGAGAAGAAAAAAAAAACAAAACAAAAAGGCGTAAAATACTCTAAAACTAGGCGTTTACATACAGAAAACGTCCGGTGGGGTGAGAAAAAAAAAATAATATCTAGAATTTATGTAGAAATCCCGGCACTTATGGAGAACGAAGAAAAACGATGCGTGTGTGTGTGACTCCCCCCTCCGCCAGCTTCTCGTCCAAAATGTTTTTTTTTGATGCGTGTGTTTTGCCGACTTAAGTCACGCTTAAAATTTAAAAAGGAAAAAAAAAACAACCGATCCCCTCCCCAGGCCACTTTGCTTAAGGTGTCTCCTTTATTCCCAGAGGAGCCGGCTGCAACAGTCGCCCTCCGTGCCACACGCTGCAATGGCCAGTGCACTCCTCAGGCTGCCGTGGGTGCGCGTCTGCCCGTGTTACAGCCGCTCTCTCGTCAGTGGCTCAGCCCGTCCAGCGCCACTCGCGTTTTATTGAAAGTGCCTCACTCGCTGCTGCCCCTCTCGCCTGCTCCGCATGTGGAGTGCGCTCATTGGATGGAGGGAGTCCGGAAATCTGGTGGGGCTGTGTGTGTGTGTGCGCTCTTCTCGTCGCTCTCCGGCCCGTCTTTTTTCTTTTCTGAAACTCGCTGCGATCAGCTGATCTCCACGCTGCGCCCGGCTCACGCCGCCCCTCGGATCCGGGAGCGGTGACGCAGACGCGTTTGCGTTAACCTTTTCGGCGCGGGGGGAGGGAAAGGGGGGGACCCTCTTGGCGATTTGTCCGGTTTTGTGAAGTCGTGCACTCTCCCACCCCCTCCTCCTCCACACACACGCTGCCTTCCCCTGGGGCACAATAAGATGTCTCCACTCGCAGATCTACAGGCAACGCCACAATGTGCATGTATTTTAACTGGGGGGGGGGTCGATTCCAGTTTTAATTCCAAGGTGCTGCCGCTGACCCCAAAAAAATATGTTTTGGGAAACGACGGAGCTCGAGTTCAGATGCTTTGGCAGGGGAGTTTAATTTGTTTGCCACTTTTCTCTGAAGAGCCTCCGTTTTTGGCCTTGGAGGTGATTAAAGACTTTCGCTCCTATCATCCTTCAAACCTAGAATGGTGTGTGTGTGTGTGGTGGGGGGGGGGGTCATTTGCTGGGATTAGCGAACGCAAATGTCATGCTGTCATGCTATTACAGCCAGCTAGAGTTATGCGCCGGGTGTCAGCCTTCTCTTTGCTTATGTTACAGCTCAGGCTGCGAGGTTTTACCGAGAAGCTGTTTTCCAGATACCCAAGTAGTTATAAACCCGGGGTCAAAAGTACGCGACAGCGCTGTGATTCGCGAAATGTAATTAGGAGGTATTTACACTTCTTGCCTCGTTTTTCTGGAAATGGTCATATGCGGTCGGTCCTGACGTGTATTGCCCCTTTGCTGGCGTGCAGGAACAATGTAATGCAATGTGCTGGAACAGCGCGCTAAAGTAAACGCTTTTATCGTATTACATCAGTGTCAGCTCATGTCGCTGCAGTCCCCAGACCCATTCAAATACACCCTATTCACGTGGGTGACTTTCACACCTGCACGCTGGAGTTCAGTTGGACAGGGATCAGTGCCACCCTGTTGGATCTGGGAAATGGGAGAGAAATAGTGTACCCGATGCTAAAGAGAGCTCATTCACCTGCTAGACCCCCACTCCCACTGACACAAAACCACCAGGTTTATACCAGCTTCATGTTCTACAGCAACTAAATTAATCCCATGACCAGCAGTTATTTTTTCCTGTGATGTTGGAGTGCAATTGTAATATAAAAGAGCTCTTCTTAGTTTCAGGAGTGTTGAACAGGCAATAGAGCAGATGATCACTCCTTGCCACAGATGGATGGACAGGGAGTTACCCCACCAGCTGGTCCCCACTTCTACAATTGGAAGGACTGGAGTAACTGGGGGTAGAGTTCTTCATTAAGCTACAACAGCAGTGTCTGCAGCGGGGACTCGAACCCACAGCCTCTCACTCAAGACTTGAAAGGCTCCCCCACCATGGAAACCTGGGGTATGACAGAGAGTCTTCCTGCACTTTTTCCCCCTGGAGCTCTGCCTGAGAGGCTCAACTCTTTACAGTTTCGATAAGTTTATTGTGTTTCCAACTAGACATACTTTACTTGATCACTGAAAGAAGCAAGATTTAGTAGTCAAAGTATATTTTCGCACACGATTTGAACAACTTCTGCACACTGCGGTATCAAACTCTGCTGGTTACCAGCTACCACATCTTCACTGGCTACACTAGAGTCACCACGTGTTTTAAAGTGTGATAAACCAGCTGTTTCAAGATCTCCATTCTAAGTGCTTGAAAATGTCTCTTGCACTCATGAAAGTACACTTAAACCCTGTCCCCCCTCTCCAAAATGCACAGACACCTCTGGTCTGCAGGTCCCGTCCTAACTGACCCATCTGAGACACAATAAAGAATGCTGTATAGGGAAAAGGTCGTTACTAATTGTTTTTTTTTACAATTTTTGCATCCCAAGAACGTGCAGCTAAATAGCAGATGAATGCAGAGAACGGTATCGGCAAACCTTCCAGTGAGCAGAAAAATGTAAAAAGGCAGGCTTTAGAAAATGGAAGCAGCTCAGCACAGCTCTAATTTTTATTGAATGTTCCACTTAGCTCACGCTCATCACCTGGACTTGTTTCCTGCTCGGTTCACTAGTTACTTTCACAGACTCATGAACTGGGTGGAGGAGAGTGTAGACTGTCTGGATTGAAATCGTGTGAAAAGCTTTCCCTATTTTTCTCTCCATAAAAAGCTCTATGGATCTGCGGCTGATCTATAAAACATTATTGTGCTGTTCTGTCCCTTTACCTGCAATGAAACGAGGACCTCCTGGGATTATTGAGCCCCTGAAGGCTGCAATGTACAAGGCTGACGTTAGATCATGCAGGAGAGACCCGAGGGTCTCTCTCCTAATGAAGTCATTTGTCTGGAAACCCCAGCTGCCCACAGGAGCACCCCGTTCTTTCTTTTCAATTTGATAACGTCCAGGACTGGTGTCATTTGCGTTACATTGGAAAGAGTGAGCACCTCATGGTTAGTGATGACAGTACGGCTGACAGACAAGGCCCAAGCAGGTGCTTTAGGAAAGCAAGGTTTTTTTTTTTAAGTGCCTGCACACAGAATCATGGCAGCATGTAGTCACAACTGCTCTTTATTGCATGAAGATTTACTCTGGGTCACTCCAATTAAAACCCCACTAAGCTGATATTAGCAATGAAGGCTAATTTTATTTAATACCACAGACTGTGTTCCAAATGATTGTAATTAGAGAACAACTGCATTTCACACTGCATCGTTGTAATAAAAATGTTAATTATCTCGCATGTTACCATAAATAGTGTTGTACATGTTTGTGTTTCCAGTCAGTGATATGCAGTACAGTACCCCTGTCTTGGTGAACATGAAATGGACATAACAAAATAATGATAGTAATTACAGAACTAGTGATAGATGACGAATTAATGCTGCAATTGTTCATGAAACACTGAGATCAGCAGTTTGTAGAGTGCATTGCTTGTCACAGAGCAGCATCAATCTGAAGTCCTTTTATGTGTTTAATGAGTCACTTGCAAAATTGGTGAAACAAGACATTCCTAAAGCATTCCATAATTAGAAAACACCTCTAACCTGGTTGTCTTCTCTGCGTCTGTGGGGCCATGTGACAGCTGAACAACTGTTTATGAAATGAATCCGCTGTCCGAAAACAAGACCAAAAGTGTAATACGCTCTTGTCCCATTTTGTAGCATTTCTTTTCATCTCAGAACTGTAAGAATTTCTCATTTACTACTTAATATCATTTAATGATATTCCCTGTAAAATAATGGATCTCAAGTTAGAACACAGGAGCACATGGGGGAAAGAAGGAGCACAATTCTAGGAAAGAAGGAGAGGACTTATATACTCCGGGGAAAAATCACAATCAAAATTCAAATAAGGTCATTAACCATGCAAGATAGCAAGATGTGCCACAAACCACTAGTTTGGCAAATTATGGAGGAAATAATGTCACCCCGGGCTCTGTTACCTCTCACTGCGTTAGAATCCATGAATGATGACATTAATAAATAATCCCTCAGATGAGGAGATGGAGGGTGACAGCCCTGCCTGTCGGCTGTGCAGCACCTCTGAACCTCACGCAGCCGCCAGGTGATGGTTTAATCCCACTGGAGCAGGAATAGAGTCAAGAAAGTGGGCAAAAATGGTTATTTAAAAAAAATGTTTATTGAGAAGTATTAATTTCCTCCAGGTGTGAAGCTTTAATAACTCACATCTGACCATAATATGAAAAAAAATGTTACCTTCAGAGAAATCATTTAATGTCAGTGTGTCAAAGGGTTTGGCAGATAAGTGGGCCTTTTACCTGACCAAAAGGTTTTCAAGTAAGATACAATCCAAAAGTGATTAATTCTTCGTTGCATTTGCTGTGTAACGTATAAATAGAAACACAAATTACATTTTCAAACCTGAAACGTGTTTTTCTAATAGATCAAATACTGTATATAGAGCAATTAAGGGACTGGCGTTCAACATTATAATTTAATTGTAGTTAGTTACGTAGAACCCTCACGCAGTCTCTAGGAAAAACTAAAAATTAGGCTTACTTCTTTCACTTCAAAATATATACACACAATATTCATATTTTTTCTGTCACCTAAGATATCATGTGTCTGGATCACAACCTGTAAGTGACCAGTTTTCAGCAAGTGTCTCCTCCAGGGTTCCCTCTACTGGTAGTCAGTGATAGTACAGATATACGATACAGTACACCATGACGGTCGTCGTCAGATTAAGAGGCGCGACAGCAGATATAACCAAGTTGCTATAGACTGTAAATATAACATGCCTTTAGAAGAGACCTAAACAATTTAATTAGCTTGTCAATTGTTTTTTGCTATTAGGGGCAGAGCGGTGGCTAAGGATCCGCACCTGTGGCTGGAAGGTTGCCAGTTCAAATCCCCCAGCCGGCAGAGGAATCCTACTCCATTGGGCCCCTGAGCAAGGCCCTTAACCCCAACTGCTCCAGGGGTGCTGTACAATGGCTGACCCTACTCTCTGACCCCAAGCTTCTCTCCCTGTCTGTGTGTCTCATGGAGAGCATGCTGGGGTCTGCGAAAAGACAACTTCCTAATGCAAGAAATTGTATAGGGCTAATAAAGTGATCTCATCTCTCATCTCTCATCTCATTCCAACCAACAGAGCTGTGAAAACAGCCAGTGCAAGAAGGCTCTGGACAAAGTGCCATGACGACAGACCAGCCCAAGACACTACTGTTAGGAGGCTTTCTATTGGTTAATGTCCAAGTGCAGTTCCCACCGTGTAACATTCAAAATAAGCAAAGAATTTGTGGTGGAGGAAGACATATGTGCTTTAAAAAAACGCGTTTATTTAACAAATGCTAGTTTGTTTTTTCTCTCCGATTTGCCAACAGAGGGCTCAGAGTCAGAAAAGTCTGACCCTCCACTTGGAAATAAGCCTTGCAACACGTACTGTCTGCCGTGGCACAGGCTGCCAGATTCAGCAGAT